AATCCCCTCTGACCCCCCCCAAAAATCCCCCTCTGACCCCCAGAACCCTCCTCTGACCACCCAAAATCCCCTCTGACCACCCAAAATCCCCTCTGACCACCCAAAATCCCCTCTGACCCCCAGAACCCTTCTCTGAACACCCAAAACCTCCTCTGATCCCCCCTGAACCCTTCTCTGATCCCCAGAACCCTCCTCTGACCACCCAAAATCCCCTCAGACGCCCCAAAATCTCCTCTGACCCCCAGAACCCCCACTGATCCCCCAAACCCGCTCTGATACCCCTAAACCCCCTTTCTCTGACCCCTCAAAACCCTTCTCTGAATCCCAAAACCCTTCTCTGACCCCCCTAAAACTCCTCTCTGACCCCCCAAAACCTGCTCTGATCCCTCCAAACCCCCTTTCTCTGACTCCCCAAAAACCCCTCTGATCCCTCAAAACCATTCTCGGATTCCCAAAACCCTTCTCTGACCCCCAAAAACCCCATCTGACCCTCCAAAAACAGCTCTGATCGCCCCAAAACTCCTCTCTGACCCCTCAAAACCCCCTCCGACCCCCCAAAACTCCTCTCTGAGCCCCTGTCCCAGCCCCTGCACTCAAGCTCTGGGGCCTGGAAGGAGCTGTCAGCTCGGGATGGAATAAAAACGCCGTCAGGAAAATCCCGTGACTCGTGGGTTTTCCTGCTCCAGCCAAGTTCAGGGCGAGTCGTTGCCCTCCTCAGCCTCTCCCAGCTCTTCCCTGTGGGAATTACAGCCCTGACGCATCCCAGAACCTCCCCCCGTCGCTAGGGATTGGGGAAACTGAGGCACGGGGCTGTTGGAATCGGGAGAGGGGAGGCTGGGGACGCCGGGATCAGCGGGGCAGAGCTCGGGCAGGGAGCAGAGGTTTGTCCTTTGGGCTCGGAGCTTTCTCTCCGCACCCCAAAGTTGGGATATTTTGGGAGGAGAGAGGGGAAAACGCCTCCAGGCCCTGCACTGGCACCTCCCGCGCCTGTGACCGTGTCCCCAAACCCGGCGCAGATCCCAAATTCCCAGGAAATCGCTGCCTTTCCCTCCAGGGAAGCACCGTCGCACCCTCCCTGCGGTTCCCCGGCGGGTTTGGGCTGGTTCTGGGGTATTTTTAAACACTTCCACTTTGGGACTTTGCCCGGTTCGTGGCTCCTTTCCATCCTCGAGGGATGAGCTGGAGCTGGAGCCGCCGCGTCCCCTGCTCCTTGTGCCACGGGGGCCACCAAAAACACCGGGACCACCAAAAACACCAAAACCCCGCGCACCCCCCACCCCCAGAGAGCCCCCCCGGCTGCACAATTAACCGCCAGCTAATTGAGGGCGGGTAATTAGGCACAACCAGGCTGGGAAGAGCCGAGGGAGGTGTCCCACGAGGTGACACCGCCGCTCGTGGTGGTGACACGTGAGCAGAGGACACCCCCAACCCCCCCCGCATCCCCTGGGGACATCGGCGTTGTCCCCACCGGGATTTCCAGGGGACGGAGCCATCCCAGGGCTGGAATTTATCCTCTGGGATGTGGGATCCGAAGCGGAGCCAGGCCGGGAACAGCGGCGGGAGCGGATCGGGGCGGGGGTCGGGGGTCGGGGCGGGGGTCCCCGGCTCACCACGATGCGGCTCTCGTTGGCCCACAGGGTGTCGATGGCCAGGCTGCCGCCCACCAGGTCCTGGGAGATGCGGGTCCCCTCGGACACGTCCCGAGCCCTCCGTCCCTCACTCCCGGGGGGGCGTCCTGGGGTGGGGGGGACACAGCGAGGGGTCAGTGGCACCCCTGGGCTCGCTGCTGTCCCCGGCTCTGTGACACCAGTTTGAGGGGGATGGAGACGCGGGGAAGGCTCCGGGGTGGCTGCGGGGACAGGCGACGGTGGCCCCGGCCAGGGGAGGACACCCCCAAACCGCAGTCCCCGGCGCGGGGGGAACCTCAGCGCTGTGGCCGCGTCCTCGATGTCCCCGAGCGTCGCTCCCCTGTCAGGGCAGGCTCCGAAGAGCCAAAAAAAACCGCGTCCCTCACCCCCTCCAGCCCCGTGGAGGCAGCGGAGGCCGGAAACGCGGCTGGGGAGTGCTGGGGGGAGGATAAAAAAGCCATTTGGGGCCAAATCTGCCGAGAATCGGGAGGTTTCTGGCAGCGCGGCGCGGGCGGAGGCGGTGGGGACCGCAGGAACTCGCCCACGGGCAGGGACACAGCCGGGACGTCTGTCCCCAAGAGGGGACACTGCACAGCCCGGGGGGGTCGCGGGCTGCTCCCCCCGCCCTTGGGAGCGTCATCCCTGGACAGTTAATTCCTAATTGCTGCCTAGCGAGCAATCCCGGGGCTGGATTCTGTTCTCCGGGAGGGGAAACTGAGGCAGGGGGGGAGCAGGGCTGAGCTGGACGTGAGGTCAGAGAGGGGCTCTGTGCCCGGGGGTCACACTCGCCATCCCTGGGGGGCACAGGGGGGGTCCAGCCCTCGCCACTGCGGGCAGGTGTGGGGTGTCCCAGAGAGCAGAGACCCCCCCCAAAGGCTCCCCAAAATCTCACCGGGCACCCCCAGCCGCGCCAAGGGGTGCCGGGGGTGGGGGAATCCTGCGTGGGGACCCCCGGCAGCGGGGACACAGCCCCCTCTCCTCTGTCCCAGCGCTGTCCAGCACAAATGGGGGGGTCCGGGCACCCCACTTTGGCCGCGGAGATGCCGGGGCAGCACGGGGAGGGGAGCGGGACCCCCACGGGTGGGGGGTGGGGGGGGGTGGGGAGCAGCGGGACACGCACCTGCGGGCTCGGGGGGCACGGGGACACCCCCACAGCACAGCAGAAGGGGGGCACACAGACCCCCCCCGGGACCCCCGGGCAGACCCCCAGGGTATGGCCGGGACCCCCCTGCACCCGGGACCCCCCTGCACCCCCAATCCCGGCGCCCCCCCGGCCCCCCCCTACCTGCGCCCAGCGCCCCGCGGAGCAGGCAGAGCACGAGGAGACCCCCCCAGCCCATGGTGGGGGGCGGCGGCCCCGGCGGTGCTGGGGGGTCGGGGGGCTCAGCGCCCCGCCATGGGCCGGGACCCCCGGGAGCCGCGCACCGAGCGGAGCCGGAGCCGGAGCCGGGCGGGGCCAGGGGCGGGACCGGGGGCGGGGATGGATTTGGGAAGGGTTGGGAAGGGATGGAGCCGGAGCCCGCAGCTGGACCCCCGTGCGCCCGGGGGGGCTCGGGAATGTTCGTCCAGCCCTGGGATGGGATGGGCTGGGCTGGGCTGGGATGATGGGATGTCGCCCCCCGCCCCGGAGCGACATCTCCGGGGGGCTCACCCCTCCCCGCCACGGGTTTTTGGGGGCCCACTGAAGACACCAGCGAGGGTCGGGGTCCCCCGGGATGTCCCCACTGCGGGCAGCTCTGGGGTGACCCCGCTGGGGTGGAGGAGGGAGGGCTCTGGGCTGAGCCCACCGGCCCCGCCCGGGTGCGCTGCCCCCCAAGCCCCACTGCAGCTCCCTTATTTGGGGGGCCTGCGCCCCTTCCTCACCCACCCGGGGCCGCCCATCCACAGTCCCGCAGGGGAGGGGTCCCCACAGCCGGAGGGTCTGTGTCCTTCCCAATCCCCCGGGTTTTCCCTTTGGAGAAGGAAGAGC